GGAGGCGGAGGTTGCGGTGAGCCGAGATCGCGCCATTGCACTCCAGCCTGGGTAACAAGAGCGAAACTCTGTCTCAAAAAAAAATAAATAAATAAAAAATAAAAAAATTAAAAAAAAAAAACTTTCAGCATGCACCATCATGCCTGGCCAAACTTTCTATTTATTTATGAGATGGAGTCTTGCTCTGTCTGGAGTACAGTGGTGCAATCTTGGCTCACTGCAATCTCCACTTCCTCAGTTCAAGCGATTCTCGTGCCTCAGACTCCCGAGTAGCTGGGATTATAGGCATGTGCCACCACACCCAGATAATTTTTGAAATTTTAGTAGAGATGGGGCTTCACCATGTTGGCTAGGCTAGTCTTGAACTCCTGACCTTGTGATCCACCCGCCTTGGCCTCCGTAATTGCTGGGATTACAGGCATGAGCCACTGCGCCCAGCCTCAATTTATTTTTATAGAGACAGGGTCTTGCTAGGTAGCCTAGGCTGGTCTCAATCTCTTCAAGCTGCCTCAGCATCCCAAAGTGCTGGGATTACAGCCATGAGCTACCATGGCAGCCTAGTTTCATAACTACAATTTTTACAATTTTTCTTTCATGGTTTCATTTCCTGAACTCTTGATTTCTTTCAGATTGAATAATGGGACCTTTTGCCAGAATTCTATGCCACTGGCTCTAATTGTTCCAAAAGAAAAAAACTGTATATTTTAATTGTGTGGGGAGGTGGTGTGAGACAAGATCTCACTCTGTCATCCAGGCTGGGTACAATGGCACAATCACAGCTCACTGCAGCATTAATCTCCCAGGGTCAAGCCATCATCCTGCCTCGGTCCCTCGAGGAGCTTGGACTAAAGCTGTATGCCAACATGCCTGGCTCATTTTTAATTTTTTGCAGAGACAGTGTCTCCCTGTTGCCCAGGCTGGTCTTGAACTCGCAGATTCAAGCGATTCTCCTGCCTCAGCTTCTCAAAGTGCTGGGATTACAGGCATCAGCCGTTGCACCCAGCCAAATTGTGTAGATTTTCATGAAACTGTTTAAATCCTCAATGACTAGTTACATATGTGGGAATGGGTACTTCTGGGTATTTTGAAGTGACAAGTTATACAGGTTTGGAACATCAGAAAATTTATCACATTCAGACTATCTCTCCAGAGACCCTGTTCCCTCAAGAGTACAGGCTACTTCTCTAATTCTCTGAAGTATTTCTCATTTGTGCTGTTTTTTTTTCGTTGCAAACTCCACTTCCCGGGTTTAAGCAATTCTGCCTCAGGCTCTCAAGTAACTGGGATTACAAGTGCCCGTCACCACGTCTGGCTACTTTTGTATTTTTAGTAGAGCTAGAGTTTCACCACGTTGGCCAGGCTGGTCTCGAAGTGCTAACCTCAAGTGATCCACCCACCTCGGCCTCCCAAAGTGCTGGGATTACAGACTCAGTTTTTTTTTTTTGAAGTGGAGTCTTACTCTGTCACCCAGGCTAGAATACAGTGGTGCAATCTTGGCTCACTGCAACCTTCGCCTCTGGGTCGGGCAATTCTCCTGCCTCAGCCTCTCAAGTAACTGTGATGACACGTACCCACCACCATACCTGGCTAATTTTGTATTTTTAGTAGAGACAGAGTTTCACCATGTTGGCCAGGCTGGTCTCAAACTCCTGACCTCAAGTGAGCCACCCACCTTGGCATCCCAAAGTGTTGGTACTATAGGCAAGAACCACCATATCCAGCCTCTTTTTAAAATCAGAGATGGGATCTTGCTATATTGCCCAGGCTGGTCTCAAACTCCTGGGCTCAAATGATCCATCTCAGCCTTCCAAGTAGCTGGGATTACAGATGTAAGCCACAGCTCTGACTGTGCTAATTTTCTAGAATGGAATTCTCAATTTTTTCTGAGAGAGGAAACTAAGAAACATCCCTCATCAATCTTACCATTTGTATCGCACTGAAGATTTCATTCTTCAAAAAACTCTGGTGAAGTGATAACCCTTGGGTTCTAGGTTGTATTTCCCATTCTGAAGTTAAGCAGAAAAAGTAATGTGAGGGTTTAGAGAAGAAATGTTATACTAAAGTGGTTTAAAATAATGAGTCATTAGTACTTGTTTTCAAATTAAATACAGTAACAAAATAAAAGCCAGAGAACCTTGAGGATTTGGTATTACAGTAAAACTCTGGCTATAAGGATGTAGGGTTTATTACACAACTGATATGTTTAGGTAGTTTAATACACACTGCTTCTGTGAAAATATGGTGAACAGGAAGAGATTATCAGGAAAGGAAAGCAGGAAGATCTGGATAAAGAGCATGTATCAAAATGATAAACTTAACAAAAAACCAGAACAGGTAGTTTTGTTAGATCATAGGAATTTGTGACTAGATGGAAAATAAGTCAGAGATATCTGAAATTGTGATAAAAATAGCTTAAATCTTCTGAGGCCAAGTGCATCTTTAAAAATCTTTTATTTTTTTTTTTTAGGACAAAGTCTTTTTTTTTTTTTTTTTTTTTTGAGACAGAGATTCACTCTTGTTACCCAGGTTGGAGGGCAATGGCGCGATCTCGGCTCACCGCAACCTCCGCCTCCTGGGTTCAGGCAATTCTCCTGCCTCAGCCTCCTGAGTAGCTGGGATTACAGGCACGCGCCACCATGCCCAGCTAATTTTTTTTGTATTTTTAGTAGAGACGGGGTTTCAGCACGTTGACCAGGATGGTCTCGATCTCTTGACCTCGTGATCCACCCGTCTCGGCCTCCCAAAGTGCTGGGATTACAGGCTTGAGCCACCGCGCCCGGCCTAGGACGAAGTCTTACTCTGTCGCCCAGGGTGAAGCGCAGTGGCGCAATCTCAGCTCACTGCAACCTCTGCCTCCGGGATTCAAGCAATTCTGCTACCTCAGCCTTCCAAGTAACTTTGACTACAGGTGTGTGCCATCATGTCTGGCTAATTTTTTGCATTTTTAGTAGAGACTGGGTTTCACCGTGTTACCCAGGATGGTCTCAATCTCCTGAACTTGTGATCCCACCTGCTTCGGCCTCCGAAAGTGTTGGGATTACAAGTGTGAGCCACTGCACCCAGTCAAATCTTGCTTCAGGTGATCCACCCACCCCAGCTTCCCAAAGTGCTGGGATTACAGGCGTAAACCACTGCGCCCGGCCTAAAAATCTCTTTTCTAGTTGCAAAAACATACGGAACTTCTCATCAGAGTTCTGTTTTATAAATACTCACGCTGAAGAACTCCACTCTCCATTGTCTTCAACTCTTCTTGTTTTAACCAAGAGGTCGGGTTGGGTATGAACAGCTGACAACCTGTGCAGGTGGAAAGACATTAAACAAAGTGGCCCATGCAAGAAATGACAAACCTTCCTATGATTTAGGAGATTTATTTCTACTTTTTTTTTTTTTTTTTTTTTTTTTGAGATAGAGTCTCTTACTTGTCTCCCAGGCTGGAGTGCAGTGATGCAATCTTGACTCACTGCAACCTCAGCCTCCTGGGTTTAACCGATTCTCCTGCCTCAGCCTCCTGAGTAGCTGGGATTACAGGTACCTGCCACCACGGCTAGTTAATTTTTTTTGTACTTTTAGGAGAGATGGGGTTTCACCATGTTGGCCAGGCTGGTCTCCTAACCTCAGGTGATCCGCCCACCTCAGCCTCACAAAGTGCTGGGATTACAGGGATGAGGCACAGCACTCGGCCAGAAGATATATTTCTAATAAAAGCAATGTAATTAAAACAAAAGAGCTAAACAAGCAAAGACCCCCATTTCTGTGCCCCCCAAAATTGGTTATCTCTGACCAATTAAACCCAAATTCAGGCTGACATACACATTTACAAAGCACTAAAACTTTTATTTCTTTTTCAGTGTGTGTTTATTTTTGAGACACATTCTCATTCTGTCACCAGGATGGAGTGCAGTGTTGCCATCTTGAGTCACTGCAACCTCCACCTCCCAGTTTCAAGCTATTATCCTGCCTCAGTCTCCCAAGTAGCTGGGGCTATAGGCACGCTCCACAATGCCCAGCTAATTTTTGTATTTTTACTAGTGACAAAGTTTCACCATGCTGACTAGCCTGGTCTTGAACTCCTGACATCAGTGTTCTACCCACCTGGGCCTCCAAAAGTGCTGGGATAAGAGTGAGCCACCACACTTGGCCAAACTTTTACATGTAAGTAGGCTAGGCATGGTGGCTCATGCCTGTAATCCCAGCACTTTGGGAGGCTGAGGCAGCTGGATCACAAGGTCAGGAGTTCAAGACTCAGCCTGGCCAAGATGGTGAAACCCTGTGTCTACTAAAAATAAAAAAAATAAAAAAACTTAGTGGGGCGTGGTGGCAGGTGCCTGTAATCCCAGCTACTTGGAAGGCTGAGGTTGCAGTGAACCAAGATCACATCATTGTACTCCAGCCTGGGTGATGGAGGGAGACTCTGTCACAAAAAAA